CTGAAACAGCTGCTGGGAACAGCAGGAGGCGCTTCCCACCCTGTAGGTCACTCCAAGGCAGTGGGCATAGGGCAGGGAGACCACCCCAGGGCTCCTACCTCTCCTGTGAGCAGCTTCAGCAGCGTCGACTTCCCAGCTCCATTAGGTCCCACAAGAGCCACACGCGTGTCCAGGTCGATCCCAAACTCCAAGTTATTGTAGATACGTGGCTGCAATCCGCAGAGACCGAGAGGTCAGGCCTGTCCAGACTGCTCTGGACAGTGCCTGGGGGGGCTGCTGCCCTGCACCTCACACACGGGAACAAAGGCTGGGCATCTCCACGCTACCCAGCTGAGCGAAGCGGCAAACCCCCTACCCCAGCACACTCACCCCGTCTTTGGTGTACTTGAAGCTGACGTTCTGCACCATGATGACAGGAGGAGGGATCTTCCCGCATGGCGGGAAATAGAAGGACAGTGTCTAGGAAGAGAGTAGGCTCACTGGTGAGACGAGGCCCAGGGCAGGGGACATAGCCGCTCCAGGGAGACTGTTCTTCCAGGTGCAGAGGAGCTGCGGCCCTTGCCCCCAGCTCGGATACAGCAGCCTGGGGCCATCGTGGTGCCCAGGCACAGCAGATGACGTTGCAAGGACCCTCAGCAACCGCCCTACACTTTGTTTACCTTGAGCATCAGCCCAGTGCTGGCTGCTCCCCCAATCCCGCTCTCATTGTGGAGCATGAGGGTTTATTCCCCAGGGGCTCCCAGTTTCCACCCAGTGACATTCCTTACTGTGCCTGCGAGAGCCCCACACCCTGTACCCAGGACTAGGTGCCCGGTGAGCCCACCTCCTGCTGGGACACACAAAGGACAACGCAGGGAAGGCCATGCAGTTGTCTGTCACAGATAGCGTGCTGTACACTATGTCCATCCCATGCTCCTGGCCATCCTGCTGGCTGCACTCACTGGCTTTGCTCCTGTCTGCAGTTTGCATGACTTCCCGCCCCAATTTCCAGGGTCTGCCATGAATTTCCCAGCACCCCAACCTACCTTATCATTCACTACCCTCTCCGTCAGCCCTGAAGCCATCATTTTCTGAAGGGTCTTTTCTTTGCTCTGAGCCTGCCGAGCCAGCTTGGCGCTGCCATGACCAAACCGTGCAATGTAATTCTGTAACAGGAGATGCAATTACTGAGCCTGGCAGAGACACTGCACAGAGGCAGTAGATGAGAAATGATCACGGGAGGGACAGTGGTTCTGCATTGGGTACTTCCCAAGCTTTGGGGCTTTGCTGGTTGTCATGTGGGGCCAGGGGAGAATTCTCTCCCCACCTCCTCCCCTTGCTGTTACACGTCAGGGTTTTGAGGGGTTTTTTGCCTTCCTCAGAGGCACTGGTTGTTGTCTGCAGCCGAAGCTGGGGATGGCGACTGGGCTGAGACAGTGCTCCTGCTGGGACTAAAATCTGGAGGTTCTTGGCTGGGGGGGGGTCTTGCCCCTTCATGTTGGGTGAGACCAACATCATGTTTGAGGCCAGGAAGGAATTTTACCCCATGGTCAGACTGGCACAGATTGAGAGTGGGGTCTGCCTTCCTCTGTAGTGGGGGTACGGTCCCTGTCCGAAATCTTTTGAGTGCATATCAACACCTTTTGCAACAGCAGGATGTTGGCCACCACGGTCCCCCCCTTGGTTTACTGGTGACAGGTTCAGGTGTGATGTCTGGTGCTGTGCCAGGGGTGACAGTGTCGTTTTGCTACGACACTGGACAATGGATTTGCCTGGGATGGTTTGGACAGGGATGATCCTGCCTCAGGCAGGTGCTGGACTAGATGTGACCTCTGAAGGTCCCTTCCAGCCCCACCTCTCTACAATTCTATGAACAGAAACCACCAGGTACCTTCATGTGGGCGATCTGATCCTGCTCCCAATGGAAACGCTTCATCTGATTCTCCTCTAGCTCCACACGGGTCTTCACATACTGATCGTAATTTCCCTGCAGAGAGAACGGGACCGCAGCATGTGAGATGCCTTCCAGAGCCCAGCCCCTCAGCTAGAAGCTCAGAGTTCTTGTGGACAGGGGCTGCCCAGGCTGAGCCAACCTACCCTGGAGCCAGGGCGGGGGGGGGTCCTGCTCACCGTGTAATACTTCAGCTTGCGGTTGTGCATGTGGATGATGTTGGTACAAATGCCGTTCAGGAAGTCCTGGGAGTGGGAGATGAGCACCAAGATGCGCTTGAACCTGCAGCATCACACAGAGTTGTCAAAGGCTGGGGAGGACAAGACCACCCCAGGGCAGCCCCACAAGCAGCCAGGATGTACCACAGGTCCCCTGCTTGCGCCCACCACCCAGACAGTGGCACGAGCAGCACTACGAAGGCTTCTGGGAAAGCAGCTGGAGCCAGACATGAACTGCTCCATACAATCAGACAGGGCTCCTAGACCACAGCCCCCTTCCCTCCATGACCAGTGTTATTTAGCCTCTGGGGCACAGGGTAGGACCAGCTGCCTGAAGGAACTGTCCCTGGTAGCACCTGCCGCCCCTGGGCTGAGGCAGGAGGCCCCCAGAGGCCTAGAGCACAGCATCCACCCCCAGCTGTGCTTACGTTTTCAGCTCCTCCTCCAGCCAGACGCAGGCATCCAGATCCAGGTGGTTCGTGGGCTCATCCAGCAGCAGCATGAAGGGCCGGATGAACAGCGCTCTGGGGGGCAGAGGGGGAGGGTGAGGAGGGGCTCCCCGCCCAGCACAGTCACTCCCAGCTCCCCGGAGCTCCGCGACCCCTGCAGCAGCAGCAGCAGCAGCGCAGCGAGGGGGAGCCTGCAGCACAGCTCACCTGGCGAGAGCCACCCGCATCCTCCAGCCGCCGCTGAAGTCCTTCAGCTTCTTCCTCTGCATGGCCGGCGTGAAACCCAAGCCGTGCAGGATCCGCGATGCCCGTGCCTCCGCCTTGTCGGCATCCAGCTCCTCCAGCCGCTCGTACAGCTCCATCAGCTTTTCACACTCCGCTGCCAGGGAGGAGAGACCCGTCAGAGTCTCACCGGAGCCCTCCCCACCCCCCTGCCACGGATGGAGCCTCAGAGCTCAGCCCGCCCAGCACGGCAAGAGCAACTGGGACGGCTCCCCCACACTGCACCGAGCAGCTGCGGAGCTGCCAGAGGAGCCGACTACGGAGCCTGGTGGCTGCAGGGGCCAGGCCCCACCAGCCCAGGGGAAGGTGTGCGACCGCCCCACGAGCAAGCCTGGGGCGAGCAGGGAAGGGGCCTGGTTCACGACCGCTGGAGACTTTACCGTCCTCGTGAGCCAGCCGCTCTGCCTCCCGCTCCAGCATGGCCCGCTCCGTGTCCACCTCCATCACGCACTGCAGGGGGGTCTTCTCGCTGGGCGGCATCTCTCGGGTCAGGTGGTAGATGTCGATGTGCTCCGGGATCGGCACCTCCCGCTTCCCGATGGCCGACAGCAGCATGGACTTCCCTGCGCCCAGGCAGACAAACACGTCACTCTCGGCTCCCCTGGCGATAGACAGGCAGCTCCCCAAAGAAGGCCTGGGGCAGGGGCTGCCTCCAGCGAGCCCTGCAGGCCGGAGCCTTCCCGCAGAGCCAGGCAGCCCACGGGCCCGGGGCGGTCTCCCTCGCCCACCCTGCTCCCAGAAAGAACCGATCCCCATGAAGCACTTCCCATCGACGCCCCAGAGGCTTCCCCGGCAGCAGCAGGGCTCAGTCGCCCCGCGCCCAGCTCCCTGGCTCCTGCTGCACCCCCCACCGCGGGTTTCTGGACCAGCTGTCCCGGCCCCCAGCCCCTCCCCGGCAACCCTGCGCCGGGGGGAGCCGCCCCCCCAGCAGTCGGGGAAGCTGCTCCTCGTCCCTCCTCGTCCCCAGCGTCCAGCAAACAGCGCGTGCCGAGTCCGGATCCCCTCCATGGGCTCGTGCCTGGCCGGCACGGCTCCCCTTCCAGACACCTGGCGCTACGCCGCGCCGCCACCCCCGACTGCCAGGGGGTAGCCGTCCTGCGCCCTGCCGTGCCACGCCGCGCCTCCCGCCTCACCGATCCCGTTGAGCCCGATGAGGCCGTAGCGACGCCCCGAGTTCAGCTCGAGCTTGGTGTCGCTCAGCAGCTCCTGGCCGTGGAAGGTGAGCGAGAGGTTGATGATGTGCACGTCGGTGCTGTTGGGGTGGGAGGCGAGCACGCCCGTCACCGC